ATGTGCTACTTTCGACCCGCAACTGAAACAGACAATGTTCACTAACTTGACACATTTCGCTACAGCGATGCAATTTGCTGATATGCTGAATTTCAAAAATGTTGTCGATAATTTGGTCGCAAGTGAAACACCAAAAGTGTGTTTGTAAATTGTGTGCATGAACACTGCATGAACACTGGGGCGATCTCATAATGGTGTGCCAGATCCTGAGAAACCCCAACCGCCCATGCCATTCCCTTCTAATACTCAGTCAAAACACCCCGCTAAGAGGTCATCAGTTTAAGTTAGTCACGCGGTACAGCCGCCCGGAATGTCGGCGAAACTATTTCTCCCTTCGAGTGGTGGCACAGCCTTGGAACGCCCTCCCGGAACATGTAATTAATATACCCACCCTATCCCTTTTCAAAAACGCCTTGACGATACCCTGTCACATCTACACTACGTGCTATAGCTCATGACCACTAGATGCCGTCACTAATACACAAGAGACAGTGGATAGTGCCAAAACCCTACTACAAACGCCTTGCACGAAATTTGATAAACGCTACTACTATAGAAACTGGATTTCTGTATCCTGTCGACCCAAGATAGTTGCACACGAGTAAGCGTTGTCTTTGCCATCTTTTTTATTGTTCTCGCCTATGATGTGAACAATAACCACTCCCCTGTTGCTTTGTGTGTGTGCATTCTCGTTTCAAACTCCCTTTATACGACAGTGCAGTTACATCTGTAACTGACCGAGCTGAAGACTCCATCATCCCTTCGCTATCTTTTTGTCACGCTAAACACCCTATGAAACATGTCAAGCACCTGCTATTTTACTCGTTATATATATATATATATATATATATATATATATATAATACACAATCTGTGGTACAGATATTGTGCCATCGGAATCATGGTTGAATAGGAAAACAATATGAATAATAAGAAAAGAGCAACAAGAAATGCTTTTTTTGTCAAGTTTACCACTCACAGTTTTTGAAATTTTTTTCAGTTTGTTCATTTTTAGGGGGAGGAGGAAGGGACACCGCAACACACTGATGCACACGTCCGCCATTGACATCAGTCTTGAGCCATAACTTCCAAGGTTTTCAACCAGCAAGTATCCTCGTCTCTCGGACTCCAACCAGGTAGTCGACAACAACCGGCCGAGGCCAATTGTTTCGTCAACTTTTTCATGCGGCTTCTCCATGTTGTAGGCTGTCCACCAGACCGTCTCTTCCAGCCCTGCCCAGTAAGTGCAAACAACGCACGACGGGGGTAACGCTGGACAGGCATGCGCAATACGTGTCCCAACCACCGCAGTTGATGCAGTGAGATGAGCTCCTCGAGCGAGTGGCTTCCACGTCCCAAGACACGCTGTCTAACTTCCACATTGCTTACGTGGTGCTGCCACCACACACGGGCAATGGACCGCAGACAGCGGTGCTCGAAGACGGATAGCCTGCGCAAGTCATCTTTACGAATGGGCCAGGTCTCGCATCCGTACAACAGTACAGCATGAACAGTTGCACAATAGACCCGCCCTTTGATGGAGAGACGAATGTCGTGGCGACGCCACAAATGCCTCAGCCTAGAAAAAGCGAGGCGTGCTTTCGAGATGCGCATCGAAATCTCGTCTCCAACAGCCCCACCAGCAGTGATGCAACTTCCCAAGTAGACAAAGCTCTCCACAACCTCCAGTGTCTCACCAGCAAGCGTGAGTGCAGGCAGAGGCACCTGCCAGTCTTGAAGGAGAGTCTTGCATTTGGATGGCGAAAAGCACATACCATACTTTGATGCTTCAATCGTCAAGCGGTTTAATGCAAGTTGGACGACCTATGGATCGTCACCCAGCAAGACGATATCATCAGCATAATCCAAATCAACAACTCGACTACCTGGGAGGAGCTCAACGCCAGCGTTCAACGAATCGCTCAGAGCGTTCTTCAGGACATCCTCAATGGCAAAGTTGAATAGGAACGGAGAGATAGGGCATCCTTGTCGAACTCCACTGGAGACCACAAAGGTAGGCGAAAGCATGCCATAAGCCCTAACCCTGCCCGAGGTCAGACTGTATAGAGCGCGCAGTATGGAGACGAACTTCTCGGGGACACCGTTCCTCAGAAGGCACTGCCACAGTACTGTACGATCGATAGAATCGAAGGCTGCACGGATATCCAGGAACACAGCAATCGTTGGCCTCTGATACACATGGCGGAGCTCGAGGATCTGGCGAAGTGTGAAGATTTGATCGATGCAGCCGCGACCAGGGCGAAACCCAGCTTGTTCTTCTCGCTGCAACGATTCGCGTGTTGGGGATAGCCTGCGAAGTATGATGGACACCAGCAGCTTGCAAACGACGGGGACTAAACTTATTCCTCTGTAGTTGGAGCAGATTGTGCGCAGGCCCTTTTTGAAGATGGGTACGACTATCGATTCACCCCAAGATGATGGAACCTTCTCTTTCGACCAAATTTTCGAGAACAAAACGGTGAGTTCTCGGACCAGCGATGCGCCACCATCTTTAAATAGAGCTGGGTGAAGACCATCAGGGCCGGGAGCTTTATAACGCTTCAGGTGCCGGAGCTCCTGCTCGATTTCCTGGGAAGAGGGAGGGTCTGTTGGGGTAGACCACTCGGCCCCAGCGCGAGCGCCAGAGGTAGCAGATGGAGCTGCGGGCCAACAAAACTGCGAGCCAAAATGTTCGGCCCATCGCTCCAAGCGTCGTTGAAGATTGGTGATTAAGGTGCCATCCTCTTCGCATATTGTTTCACTTATACCAGGTCGAACACCTTCGGTGACTCGAAGGAGATGGAAGAGTTTCCTGGTATTACCACAGAGACTAGCAAGCTCCATCTCCCTAGCACGTTCACACCACCAAGCTTCGCGGTCCATTTGCAGACTCCTGCGCAACTCTCGACCAAGGTATTGGCGTTCTTTAACGTGTCTCGAATCCGATGGGATCAAGCGGCGTTTGTCCATCAGCGACAAGGAGTCGGCGGAAATCCAATGTTTCGGTGGGTGACGGGTAACTCCACAAGTGTCGATACTGGCGGAAACTAACGCATCTTTGATATGCGCCCACTGCGAATCGAGATCACCGTCAATAGTTGAGCCAAGCAAAGTTGACAGTGAGGCTTGGTACCTGGTTAAAATCGCAGCCTTTTGTAGATTTGCGACGTCCGGTCGGTAGTGGGCGCGCTTAGGTGATCCTCCGAAACGCATGCAAATCTTAGCACGAACCAATGCGTGATCAGAGTCCAGAAAAGTTGACCAGTACGATCGGCAGTCCATTACGCTTCCGCGCCATCTGTAGCTGATTGCTATGTGGTCAAGCTGGGAGTACTCTTGCGTTTGTGAGGGCGGGCGCCAGGTAGCAGTCTGTCTCCTCGAGTGTCGAAAACTAGTGCTCGAAAGAAACAAGCGATGATCAGAGCAAAGAGCAAGTAGTCTGTCTCCATTGTCTGATCGACTGCCACCGAGACCAAAACTACCCCCAATGTGGTGCTCGCTTGGTAGAAGGCGGCCAACCCGTGCGTTAAAGTCCCCGGCAAGAATGACTATATCCGTCCGTTTGGAGGAACGCAGAAGTTCATGTAGTTGTTGGTAGAAGCTATGTTTAACTGCATCCGGGCTGCAGTCTGTAGGGGCGTAGGCGGAGACGACAAATAAGGCACGCTTAACATCTCGACGCCTGCTTACGTTACATGAACCTCTTAGTCTGACTGCACATAGTCGGCTGTTGACTGGGATCCAGTCAAGCAGAGTTGATTCAGCCCTGGCACTTAATACAACCCCAACACCAGCTTGACCAGTGGCGGCAGATTCTGGTCTCCGGAAAGCCGCAAGTAGTATTTGGCGTCAGAGTTTACCGGAGAGGCCATTCTGATGACGGCGCTAGAGTCTTGTAATCTGGTCTCTGAAAGACAACAGATGTCTACCGATAGCGTTTCAAGAGTACGGGCCAGACATGCTTGTCGTCCGATCTGTATCAAAGTTCGAACATTAAACGCTGCGAGGATGAATGGAGAACCAGGTCGGAGAAGAGCTGGAGCTTCGGTGGAGTGAGAGGCGGTTGCGATCGCAGGACATTGAGAACCGGGAGTTTGGCTGTTACTTCCATCAGCTGCGAGACGTGGGTCGTTTGTGACGGCGACCGTAGAAGACATAAGAGTACATGTAGATGAAGGACGGGAGGTGGGGTGGTCTGTGAGTGGACTTTGAGCGGTTGAGTTAAGACAGAAGAACGGCATAGCAGTAGTAGTAGTGAGCGGTGTAGTCCATGATTCGTCAGCGGGCGTGATACTACCAGGTTGCCCAGGCCGAAGTAGAGGGTTGTCTTAGGGGGCCCTACCCCGAGCCTTTGATCAAAGATCTAACCTACAAGGCAGCAGGGCGATGTGAGGGCGTCGCAACCCGTTGGGAGCCGGTGACCAAGTAGATGGTTCATACGCCTTTCGGTCCGTGAAGGACCAGGGGCCCAACTCACCCTTAAAGTACAATGCCTCTCAGGGAGGGGCAAGGGGCAGTGACTTTATTTAGTGGCGAGTCACATCCGCCACGTCGCAGTGTTGTTAAACGGACATATGTGGCTTTTTATAGGGATAACGCTTGCCAGGCGAAAACCCACCACGTCCTGGAACACTGCCGCCGAACCATTCGCTGGAACGGGAAAAACCCGAACCACCCAGCTGGCACCACGAGGAGGTTGTTCAATACAAATGTCTGCACGTACACTAGTACACTAAAATTAGATCTTTGCAGGGTGAACTTTGTAACGAAATATTGGCGGGCTGTTCTTAATAGCTAGGGTTTACGGAGTTACAAGTGCCGGGGGGCGAATAATTTATTACCACCCAAGCGGTAACTACAGTTGCTATGCCACAGAGATACTGTAACTACAACTTTATACAGGCCGAAATCGTTAACATCACAAGTTCCAAATTACTCCTAATCGAAAGAGTTAAAGCACCTAATGCGAAAATGGATTCAGGTGACTAAGTATCTCTTACTTGCAAATGATGTTTGCGGTTACCAGAGCTTCTTGTGTGCATTGTGACTTCGTACAGCTTTTAGGTATGAGTACTTCTCCTGCAGCCGTGAATTGGTTGGTAGCTCTCGAAGAAAGCGAAGTTGTTGAGGCGACACCACCGAATGATCGGACCTAGTGATTTTGTAAGTACATTGGGTAGGATAGAGAGATGAGCAAATATTACTGTACCCAAAATGTTCAACACATTGATTCGACAAAGATTCCGTATTCAAAACTGTTCAGCATAGGTATATAGTCAACAGACTATTATGCCAGTATTAGTCTGGAAAATGACTTGTTGTTCAGTAGCTGTGCAAATATTTACAGTAATTCTGAACCTCGTGTCGGTAAACAGAGTATAGGGGTACGAATAGAAACGAAACAGGGATATTAGGATGAGTCAGATGACAGTGGCTCTACGAGTATGAGCAGTGAGATACTAAAAGACGGGAGTGAAATTATTAGGTTCTAATAAAATAAAACCTGCGAATTTTGTTAGAAGGTGAGTCCCAACTCTTTGACCATGAACTGAACATCGAAAACGAAGTACCTGCACAAACAGCAACATAAAGGCTTAATGATGTTTCGTCACACAACGAAGCGCTCGAAGGTGAACAACCTATGTAGTCAAAAAACCATGCTGTATTGCGAATAAATAGGTTTTCCAGTTGAACATTCAGTTAGTATTCCGGTAAAACAGTTAAGGATTAATAAAACAATAGAGAAACAGGAATAGGTTGCTTATTCGGAAATAAGTCGTCGTAAATCCAATTAGCGAGGAGAGCTCTTTTCAATAACTTTCATCGGGCCATCATAATTATGAGAAAGAAACAAAGAAGGCGGTACGCTTGTGAAAGCTAGACTGAGGACTGCTGGGGCTTGCATAAGACTGGTAAATTGGATCGATGATTAGGCCGATCCACTGCAGGTACGCTACGTAGCTGACGTTACGCTGTTAGTGTTGAATAGCAAGAAACAACCGCGGGTCCAAGGTAAAAAGAGGGCTTCCACTAGGGCTTTTTGCTAGCACATAGCACACTGGATCAGCATAAAAGCGATCGCCTTAGCTATCCTTAATAGACGTTTACTGAGCACTTTAGAGTGACGTAGCGGAACGGAGTATAATACGCTGAACGCGGCTCCTATCCGGATTTCAAGTCCACTCAGGAGTAAATGCTCCATGATAGCGCTATTGATGTTTCTAAACAATCTTCTTGGTAGTGACTCAGCGCAGTGTTATGCTACGCCTTTTGACAAACACCTGGTCGTGTGTCCAATATACCTTACACCACAGATGCAAGTAAATTGATACAGAACGTATGACTTGGACTGGACCGGGAGTCTGTCCTTCAGGTATTATGTTACAAATGGAGCAGTCTACGCGAGCACACGAGGTTAGGCGGCTGGGTAGGTTTTGACCACTACGCATGAGTGTCTTCTATTCAATAAGTCAAAAGCGGCATCCCCTTTAAATGGAAGTGAGTGAAATACGTCTGTTTTTGTACATTCATCATGGTTTCTAGAAGCAACCGGATCGTAGCGTGCTTTTTGATAAACGGAACGTGGTATCCCTTCTCTTGCAACGTTCTGAAGATGCGATCTCTCTGAATCAAGGTTTTCAGGGGGACCGATCCTAAAGGGACCCGAACACACTGCAGCACGCTGCAGCTGAGAAAGGCGGAGGAAGGCCACCTATATAACATGTTTCAGCGTAATTCATGCCCTATTCTGTGCTGCCTGGTAGAAAAATCAAGCACAGCCCGATTCCGCAAGTGCAATGGAAAGGAAAACCATTGTCCTACCTTACATCCATGGAATCTATGAGATGGCAGTGAGTCACTTAATGGCTCATGTGATCAATGTTGCACATGAAGCAGCGGGACCTGTTCGGAGTAAACCTTTCAGGGTACGAGACCAACTGAGTAGAGAAGAAACATCGTATGTGATTAAGCAAATTTGCTGCAAAATTCGTAACAAGTCCTAGGTGGTCCAGACAGAGAGGAAACTTGGCACAATGTTGCGTGAACACAGTCTGGCCATCCGCCGTCCTGATGACAAATCACTAATGTCGGTACATAGGGATGTCGAAGGCCATCAGTTCGATCTTTGCAACGTCAGAACATTTAGAACGGCAAAGAGCCGCAGAGCCTGAGATTATCGAGGGCTGGCATCCAGGCCAGAACTCAACCAACAAGCACCTAGCACTAGAGGGGATCTACAAAGCTCTATAAGTGAGAACGACAATAAGTAACAGATCGCAGAGCGTGGGCGTGACCACTTGGCCGACCCACGTGAGCCAATCGAAGACACATTCAAATCGGAAGACGATCAATGGGCACTTGGATCTGGCAGTGGCTTACGAGACTGCAACTCAGACTTTTATAGACGCAATGAGGACATAGCTTAATTTGGGGGGGGGGGGGGGGAACGTCTGCAACAAAATCATCCAGCCCGGAAAACACAACAATTCTCTCATCCACATTCAGAGCTACAGGTATTCTCAATATTTTCCAAAAACATTCTCATTCTACTTAACCGGCAGCATTACCTGCCGTCCTTTTATAGATGTTCGCCGCTGTAACTTTAGCTGGTTAACATTCGAAAAGCGAATAAATTGGTCTACGTAAGCAAGAAATTGAAAGCAACAGTAAAGCGACTGTAGCAACCAATTGCCTCACTTGTACATTGGCGTGACTTGACAGTATGACTGAAGAGCAATAAGTCCTCGGAGGCACAAAATGTTTCATTTTTACAACAAATGAAGCGTTACATATGCTTGAAGTATCTTCCACCAGCGATTATGCACAATTAGTTACGCCCAAACCATTTGGAGAAGTAGCTAGACCATGACGAAGCGCATAACCCTTCAAGCAGCTCAGTAAACGCCTATACTGCAGCTGCTGTAGACTCGTAGCTGATTTCACGCATCGCATGTCTGACATTTGGCAACAAGAAATGTCCCATGGAGCCAGGTCTGGACTGCAGGTGGGAGACAAACCTCCTGGATGCGTTCTCTAGTCAGAAGGTCCACGACGAAACGGGACCTATGTGCAGGTGATTTGTCATTGTGCAGCAAGGTTCCTCGTGCACGAGTTGTTGAAAGACGATAGAATATATCTTTCATCAATGGCGGCAGACAATGGGTGATATACTAGGCTCCGGTGACCGAGTGTTGCCGTACGAGCAGGAGAGTAGCTACATGAACAGCCTTGGCCACTAACGTATCCAACACCTGCTCGACCACACTGCGCTTGCGCCTGAAATTCTGAGGAGGCGCCTCACCGACGGATGTCCACTGAGCCGACTGTTGCTTGGTCTATGGGTCGAAACTTTACACCCAGATGTTCTCTTTACTGAGGAGCTCTCAAACAGTATTGGAGCGTCCATCAACAAACCTGGAAAGTATGGTGTGGCACCAATTCACCCGAGCTGCTTTCTAGTCCTCACTGAATTGTTGTGGTACCCAGCGTGCGCAAACCGTTCTGTATGTATGTGTGTAATCAACAGTCTAGTAACTAGACATAGAGCCAACCGTTCTGATGCCGTGGTTTTCATGTAGGGTGGTGTGGATTGATCCCGATGATATCCCGCTGACTTTTTCCACCTGTACCATAATCACGTGTGCGTTTTCCTCCCGCATCACTTGTACCGCAGCAATGTTGTCCTCGGTAGTGGCCACCACAGGTCGACAACACAGTACCTCCTCATCCAGTGACCTCCTGTCACGTCTGAATTCCGCAAATCAATCAAACACTATGGTTCTTTAAGGCGCAGCATCACCAAACGCAGCGCGTAATTGCTCGACAGTCCGGTGGTATTTTAAACCACATTTGTAGTCCCAGAAAATTATCGCCTTCCGATGACATCGACGGAGTTTAATTCTTAGAGTCAGAGTATAGTGACCCTTATGAATTGTGAGCTGTGCTGAATTGCTGATGTAGGATTCTGTGAGTTGAAATCATTGAACAATATTCAGAATGGATTATAGCACACATTTTACTTGCGAGGTCATCTGCACCTAATGTGTGTATTGCGTATCCGGAAAGTTATTGCTTTGCCCTTGTACAATATCCAATGAGCTCATATAATGGTGTCTGGTCGCGGTGTGATGACTAGACACCCGGGTTATTTAGTGTTATTAACGTTCCCGGTATGAGTTACTGCTGACTGCCAAGATGGTGTTGCAGGCCACTTAAATTGCCGTGATTTTTCTCACCAGAACCATGCCAAAATCTTTATAAAACCCGACCTAGGATGATCACATCAAAAGTAACCTATCTCAACTCATAGCCGCCTCGTGTTCAGCAGTTTTACGTGTCCCAGTGAATGTTCGTTTCAGCTTACTAATATACGCTTTGGGTAGAACAGTTTTTCCGGTTCTCTTAACAGTAAATATTTAGCCAACTGGTTAGTATTAATACCAACAGACCATACTCTTAGCAAAGCATCGGTAACGTTGCGCATGGCTATATCAGGCCTTACCTGACCCTACTCAAGTAGTTGAGACATAGAGTCTTCAGATCATGAAACATCAAGCTTTAAAAACAATTATTTACACTTATGGTGCAGTTCTGTAGCTATTGTTAAATGAGACTATTGGGATAAAGCATCATTGCAATGCAATTCAGGAAAATGTGGAGCTGCCAGACTATCCCTACACATCAGAGAGAAAAGCATTAAGCGCAGCATCATCATAGAAGAAGAGTGAGGATTTATGAAAAGTTTGCTTAGGAAAGGAGCTTAACTAATGCGCCAGTCCTGGTTACCTCAAATACCCTTGTGCGCAGTAGGTTTTGTCGTAGATAACATGCAAACCGCTGGTTAGAGAAGAGGATTTATTCCCACTGAGGTTGAACCATTGTGAAATGGAAAACTTACCAATTACAAAAACAAAGGCTGGGCGATGCGATTAAACTTAAGCAATTGACACTTACGAACAAGAAGGCATACTATTTGCAAAGCCCAAATGATTTCTTATATTTATAAGAGAGGGCGGAATTAATGTATCTCAACTGACGATAAAATAATAAAGCCGCCGGTGACTGCAATTTAATGCATATTTTGAGTAATTGACTTCTGATATGCATTAACATGCGGTTTACGGAGAAAGATTTATTTAGGAGCAGATGTAT